TGAGTCACCTTCTTGTTTTCCATGTGCCTTAGCTTGTTTTCCAAGAGGATCTGCTCCATGATCTTGCTGGGCACCGAGGTGAGCCTGACTGGCCTGTAGCTCCCTGGGTCTTCCTTTTTTCCCTTTTTAGGATATCAATCACACAGAGCATAAACTAGCACAATGCAATGATCAGCTGTCCCTGGCTCCCAGAGCTGGTCCTTAGGGAAAAGGGGCTTTTTTATGTCACTGTTTTCCTTTCATCTGCCTCTGCAAGTTATTCCATTACGCAGGAGCTGGTCATGACTTCCCAATTAGGGTTGAATTTTGAAATAGGACTGGGAGCCTCATGATAAACCTGTTCCTCTCCATGTGTACTGTGGCCTTTCGATGGGAAACATCACATAGGATGAGCATTATGCAACTTGAATTTTTTCCCTCTGTAGTTTTTGTTGGTTTCTTTTAATTAATTCTTGACACAAAGCGTTTGAAATGGCTCTTGGGGCAGACTTTTGTTGTTTTGATGCCAAGCGTTTTTCATGGCATGGGGGGAACCCACACAGTGCTGTGTTATTTCACAGCCTGGGATGTCTTGCATTGCAGAGGTGTTTAAAGGGACACTGAAGGCTGATTTATTGTTGTAGGGTTGTTGATGGTTGGTGAACAGCTGTTGTTATTTATTTTTAAAAACCCAGTGGCAATGGATGCAGTAATTTAGTCTGGTGTCCTAACCCCCTGTCTGTGCCAAGCCACAGCCCTGGAGTGCTGAGGAGGACAGGACAGGAGCCTGGAGAGGCTTCTTGAAATCCAAGTGAGCAGCAGAGCTGACGAGCTGCCAGGGAACTGACATCCCATCTCTGCTCCGTGGAAAGCCCCACAGGAGCTTCCCAGGAGTGGCAGCCACCCATCCTGAGCTGGAAAGGCTGGGGAGATGGTGTGAAACTGGGAGAAAACTAGAGTTATGAAGTTTCTTTTATAAAAAATAGGGGTATTTGCACTGGGAAGAGGGTACATCTGTGTGTTTGTGTCCAGTGCACATTGGAAAGATGGGGAGGAGATGGACCTTTTCCCATCAGTGGGATCTCAGCTGTTCTCCACAGGAAGGAGGTCTGGCATTTCAGGCAGGAGAGCATTTTTGGGAGAGTCACATGTGTCTGAAACATAGTGAACACCCTCCTTACAGGTGACTGGGCTAAAATAGGAATGCTGCAGCGCTTTCTAAATCAACTAAATATGACATTTAATAAGTTTCTGGGCAAAGCCAGCATCACCCCCGTTTGCTGTTCCAGCTGGCTGTCACCGGCAGTGCCGGCGCTTCGGTCGGAGCGAGCGGGTCAGTGAAGCAGAGAGGATCCAGCTTGGGGTGGTGGCTCTGGGACACAAGACACAGTTAACTCTTTAAGTGCCACCTCCTCATATCCCTGCATGTCCCAACTTCTCCCCAGGATTTGAGGGCTGGAGGTGCGAAACCAGTATCAGACCCCAGGTCTGTCTAACCAGGTTGATGCTCATGGATAAGTACAAGAGCTTGGGGAGCCCACAAGATGCATTTAAGTCCATATTTAATGTCTGCCTGGGTTTGTCTGTGATTATCCCTGGTTTTAGGTGGGGAAAGCCTCCTCTAGTTTCAGTGACTGGCCCAAGGTCAGTGGCAGAGCTGCCAGTGTGCCTCAGCTTTGGTGAGTCATGGTCCAAACTTCAAACGATACCCTGGAAGAATGACCCAGACTGGAATTTCAGAGAGCTTTAGAGGCTAAGGCAGAAAGCAGGAGTGTTTGAGCAGCACAGTGGGATTCATCCTTCCAGCAGCTGAGGCTGGAGAGCATAGGGTAGGAGGCACCTTCAGCTTCCTCTGGGCCCGATAAAACTGTTGCATTTGTTTTTAATCTAAGGCAGAAGTCGTCTAGACTAGAACTGTGGTTTCTGTCCTTTTGGGAACATGAATCCTGGCAGGAAGGAGCAAAAATTTCATTAAGGAAAAAATCAGGACTCCTGAGGTTCCCAAATGAGGAAGGAGGGAGTGTTCCTGCCATTCACAAAAGGCAGACAGAATCTGAGAAATCATGGAAGTTTGCAAGCTTGCTGTTTGCCTTGGAGTTTCAAAGTCTTAGGATTCATGATTCAAGCTTACATGCACATAGTTGTTATGATTAGATCTTTCCTCCTTTATGTTTTAAATAAAAATTGAATTTTTTCTCATGCTCACCTGACTCGAGGAAGTAGAGCTTTAGAAGTGTGCTCTGTTGCCAGACTGGCAGCAGTGTCGTAAAACTTGGTGACAGGCTGTTCCAGTTGGGTTTGGGAAAGCTGCAAAATTCCTTTTCATAGGAGCAGGAGGGTAGGGTGGGAAGTTATTTTAAACTTCAACCAACAGGAATTAATACCTACATTAGTCCTGCTTGATTTTCAACATTTGTTTGGTTTGGAATGCCAGTGAAGCGCCATGAGGACATACCCCTCATGGCATCCCATGGCATTCTGTCCTTCCAGGTCCCATTTTCCCTTCTGGTGCCCCCAGGGTGCCCCCAGGTTTTCTCAGCAGAGCAGTAGGTGTCACTGATACCAGTAGATTGTCCCCTGAGGTCACTTACATCAACGTGGCCAGAACTCAGCAGCAGCACTTGGGCATTTATTTTTCAGCATAACCCACACAGGGAGTGTTGCTCTGCCTCGGTGTACCCAAAACCTCTTCCAGAGCAGAGAGGGGTTGCTGGGAAGAGCCATGTTTCCTAACCAGCTTTTGGGTTGTTTCTCTGAACAAGAGACATACTTCTGACATTTGTTTCAGTGTGCCAGGAGAGGTTTTCCATGCTGGATCCCCCTATATTTGAGTGGGATTAGATCCGTGCCTTCCCTTTCAGTGGCTCAGCCAGGCCTTCCAGTGCTGATAGAAATTGTACAAAACCCCTTTCAGAGATCCATGTGTAGCCCCATAACTGGGAGACAGCAGGACCTAGTCTGTCTTTGCAGCAGATGCCACGATGGAGAAGCCCATCCTGAGGGAAGGTCCTGGGGAAAGGCCCACAGAGCTGCTCCCAGGGGTGCTGCAGCTCCCAGGGGTTCCGTGTCTCCAAACTGGCACAGCTGGGCCTGGCTGGGGTCACTGACCTGCTCTCTTCCTCAGCTCCAGCCCTGGTTTGGCCTCTGTGAAGGCTTTGACATATCCGTCCGGTCTCCTGATGTGCCAAAGGAGGTTTCACATACCAGGGCAGGGGCGGGGGGGGACAGGCAGGGCTCCATGTGGGCAGAGCAGGCAGGATGCTGGATCCATCCCAGCTCTGCCACTGGCTCACTCGGGCACATGGGCTGCCCTGGGATGTACCTGGCACTGCTTGAGCACAGCCCAGGGGCAGCAGCTCAAGGTAGGGCTGGTGGCCCAGGGAAGAGGCATCTTGGTATTTAAATGGGCACTGCTGCCCTACACCCTCCTGTCCAATCCCTGACAGCTTCAGACCCTGGGCCCACTTGGGAGCAGGGTGACAAGTTTGGCTTTTTATTGTTTTGGGGTTGTTTTATCCCCCAAGTTTGCAGCAGCAGTAACATTCTGCTAGAGAAGAGATGGGTTCGGGGGTTTTATGGCCTTTAGAACTCACAGTAGGATGGCAAAATGTGGGAGCTGCAGGAGGTGGTTTAGCAGAACACGATGTTGGTTGGGAAAGCAGGGAAGGAGCCCGAGCAAGTTTGGGGGTTTTTACTTCACTAATTTACAGGAACACTGCCCTTTACAATCTGTTTAAAGCCTAATATAAGCTGAATAATAGGAATGTATGAAAAACTATTACCACTGAAGGGAAGCCTGAAGATCGGGTTAATGATGCCGTTAGTTCCCCATGTGCTATGTGTGTGGACTCTTCCACTGCTCACAGGTACATGAATTTTTAGGTCTGAAAGTCCTCAGTATTTGGGCTTTAAATGCTGAGGAGAGAAGTTGCTTGATTTCCATCATAGCTGAGGTGATCTGTGTAAGATGGGGATGTTTCTGTCAGCTTTAAGTGTTATTTAATGCTTGTTTACAAACTACCCTGAGCCCAGTTTGAGTCAATCAGAGTTATTTTAGGCAGGTTTTATTTGGGGGAAAAGGTGACAGAAGGAGGCCCTTGATCCGTATGTTGCGTGCAGAGTGCAGGCTTGTTCAGACACAGATTAGAGAGAGTATAATCTTTTAGTTTGCAATTTCAGTGTAGGTTTTTTATTTGATGATGGAAAGAAACTTCAGTGTGCTGAAAACAGAGTGGTACTTTTTCATTGCTTTTTGTAATTATTCCAGTGTAGAGTATTCAGTGCCCAGTGCTTGTCACCCCATTCCGAGCTGCCCTCAGCCCCCAGGTTTTAGGAGACTTACTCAGTGCTGTCCCTGTGGGTTGGGGATCGCAATCTCGGGATGCTGAGATGGGGGATTTGCCTGAGTCAGAAAGGCTGTTCATGTGAACTGATGAGGAAATCTGCTGTGAAATGAAATCAATGCTCACTCACAAACTCTGGCCTGGGCTGTTACAGAAACCCCAGGAACACAGCCCAGTGCCCATGTGCGCATTCATTCACATCTCTGAACCAGGCGCATCTTGACCTTAAATCAGTCACCTGGAAGGGGCTTATCCCTCCTTCCATAGGATCTTCCTGTTCAGACAGACCCCAGCTGGAGGTGGGCAGGAACTGGCACAGCAGTGCTTTGCACCAGTACCTGCAGTTCTCCTTAGATTGGTCTGTTTTATACTTGTCCATGGTTCGGAGCACTTGGTAGCATCCAGGACTCGGTCACCCTTTCACGTGATTATTTTGTATTTGGGATCAAAACAGACAACACTTGCAACTCCTCACTTATGGGCAGAGCTGGGCAGTGTGTGGGCAACCTTTGGGCAACCACAGAAATGGACTGTGTGGGCTGTGAGCCATGTGGACACCCCGGTGACCTCTGTGGGTGTGAGGAGGGAGTGGATCTCCCAAAAACCAGGCAATCCTGACTCGTTGGCTCCTGATGCTGCTGTGAATAAGCCCTTTGCTCTCCCCTCTGCTCCTCACAGCTGTGGGTAAACCAGGAGGATGGGGTAGAGGAGGGGACCAGCGATGTGCAGAACGGCCACTTGGATCCCAGCGCCGACTGCCTGTGCCTGGGTAGGACCGTGCAGAACCGCGACCAGATGAGAGCCAACGTCATCAACGAGATCATGAGCACCGAGCGCCACTACATCAAACACCTCAAGGACATCTGCGAGGTATGGGGCTGGGACCCTGGGGGCTGTCCACAGGGAGGGTTCGTCCATGGGCTGGGACCCTGTGGCTCAGCAGGACATGGTGGGCTGTCCAGAGCTGAGGGTTCGTCCATGGGCTGTGACCCTGTGGCTCAGCAGGACATGGTGGGCTGTCCAGAGCTGAGGGTTCGTCCATGGGCTGTGACCCTGGGGCTCAGCAGGACATGGTGGGCTGTCCAGAGCTGAGGGTTTGTCCATGGGTTGAGGGTTTGTCCATAAGCTGAGGTTTGTCCATGGGCTGTGACCCTGGGAACTCAGCAGGACACAGTGGGCTGTCAGGAGAGGTTTGTCCATGAGTTATTTGTGAAAAAGCCACAGTGTGTTTGAGTGGTGTGTCTATAGAGGAGCAGCATCTGTTGATAAGTATTGATAGTTCTGAGAATTTTCTGCTGGATCTTATAATTCCTTCAGTTTGTATTAACTAAAAGTACAGTTTCCGGCCCTTTATTCCATACCTCTTTGACTGAAACATGATGAGGTTGAGAACCTTCAAGCAGTCCTCTTAATTAAAACCCAGTGCCATCTACTTTTGAACTTGTGATTGAGGAAATGAGGTTGTAATTAAACCAATCAGTTACCCATGTCATCTGTGCCTTTCATATCCGGTTCACAATTTCCCCTGGCTCAGGATGGCCCCCAGTTGCCTTTGCTTATGGTGAGACTGATGGAAAAATGTTTGCACCGTGAGAAATGAAGTACATTAGGTTTATCCAGTGGAAGGAAACCAGCAAACAAATGACCCCACTTATCCCCAATTTGATTCTTCTTCATGATGTTACAATTAACCTCTACAACCCCTTACACACAGGATTAGTGCCCTGAGCTGAGCCTGGCGTGCAGAGCATGTAGGAAGGGGAGTGCAGAGTTGCACTGGAGAGGGCAGCAGGACAGCTTGGGCATTCTGTGTAGAGCATGTACTTATCTCTGAGAGGCAGAAGTTTGCTAGCACTGAAATCAAAGCCCATGGATGCCTTTCAGCTCATCCCTTGGAATGTTTAGGATTTAGTGAGCCTGTGCCCAGTCAATGTGGTGAAGCCCCTTGTGGATTCTGCTTAGAAGAATGTCTTCCTCCCTTCCTACTTGCTGCTTGTCTCTTGAGGCAGAGCAGCCATCCAAAAAGCATCTATGACGCTTTTCAAATATGGAAGAGTCTTGGGATTTCAATTTGCAAACAAATGAGCTTAATTTCACTGTGCTATTTTGGTCAGAGAGCTTTGCATTGGAGAAGGGAAGAACTGCAGGCACTTTTCCACATACTGTTTCTTTTTCTGCATTTGCACTTTTCCATTGAAAAATTAAATAAACCTTAACTTGCACCTCCAGCCATGTCACTGTGCTTCTGCCAAGTGGGATTCTCAGGAGGTACAGCCAGATACAGCTGCATTGACATCCATGGGGTGACATGGATTTACTGCACCCAATGCTATGTCCCAGATAGGAGAGAGATCTGGAAAACTCTTTCTTTGCTCTGTGTGATACAAAATGGTATTGAGGGGATAAATCTTACCTCCAGGTAGAGCACCAGGAAATGATTCAGCTGCTTCTGCTGAGGAAGGAGGAGGACTGAGATGGGCATTCTCATCTGTGAAATGATGGGCTGTGCCTTGCTGGAGAGAGCCTCATTGTGCTCAGTTTAATCAGAGCAATCTCTCTGCCTGGAGAAGGTTTGGGCATTTGGGCACAGCATGACTGGAGATGGAGAGAGTGGCTGACTGGAGCTCCCAGTGCCCCTGATGGATAACAGAGGTGTGATTTGTGCCTCAGGATGAGCACAAACCCCCATGAGCTGCACGAGTGCTCTGACAGTGGCAAATTCCCTGCTTCCCTTGGCTCCTTGTTTTAGGGTGTCAGGCGGAACGGCAGCGATGTGAGGCACTGGAGGGGGGTGGCAGAGGGGCTCTGGCTGGGTGGCAAAGCTTGAGCCTGATTTAGTGCTGAATTTAGCAGTGTGTGGTCATAGTCTTTGTTGCTGAGCTGTAATGAATAACAAATCCTAATACCAGGGAGGCACTTTAGGATATGTGGTTGTTACTGAGAACAGTGATTAAGAGCCTTTCCATTTCTCTCTTCTGCTTCACAATGTATTTCCAATACCTCATCATGGCCGGGCTTCGCGAACGAAGATTTAGGAGGGCTCTACTCACGTTTGTTACAAGCACACTGGTGGCTTATGAGGCCAATACGAGATAGACATGTCTGATTGCAAAAGGCACAGCAGAAAGACTCCTTAGGTGGTATATTCTGCAAGGCACGATTCTTTCTGCATTGTCTTTTCTCCTCAAGGGTGATCCTGCTGCGTTCTCAAAGGCATCAGCAGCGTTATAGATGGTGTGTCTCCAGGCCTCCCGATTGGAGGCCAGAGTAGACCAGTTATGGTGATCAATATGGCCGAGGCTGAGATGTTGTTTCAGGGAGTCCTTGTGTCTCCTCTTTGGGGCTCCTCTCTTGCAGCAGCCGGTGGCAAGTTCACCATAAAGCAGGATCTCAGGGAGGCGGTGGTTGGTCCTTCATCCTGGAGACGTGCCCTGCCCAGCCCAGCTGTGTTCTCAGCAACATGGCCTCAATGCTTGTGACTGCTGCCTGTTCTAGAACAGATGGATTGGTCACGTAATCTGACCAGGGGATGTTTAGGATTGTACGTTGGCAGCGTTGATGGAAGCGCTCCAGGAGTCGCAGGTGGTGGCGGTGGATGACCCATGATTCAGATCCATATGAGAGTGTAGACAGCACTATGGCTCTGTAAACACTGATCTTGGTACTTTTCTTCAAGTGTTTATTACGCCATAGTCTTTTATGGAGTTTTCTGAAGGCACTATATGCCTCTGCTAACCTGTTGTCTATCTCCCCATCAATCTTACCACCTGAGGAGATGAGGCTGCCTAGGTAATTAAACTGCTGGACTGATTTGAGCTCTGATTGCCAATGGTGATGTGGGGATGATGGGGGGCTTCCTGAGGTGCCGGTTGATGGAGAACTTCTGTCTTCTTTAAGCTGACTTCCAGCCCAAAGAGCTCAGCAGCCTCAGCACAGCAGGATGTTAAACGCTGCAGAGCTGCTTCTGTGTGAGCGACAAGGGCAGCATCATCAGCATAAAGCAGCTCCCGGACAAGATGGTTTAAGGTCTTGGTGTGGGCCTTCAGTCGCCTTAGGTTGAAAAGGCTTCCATCAGTACGGTATCGGATGTAGATCCCGTCCTGATCCTCGAGGTCTGCTGTGGCCCTTTGGAGCATCATGCTGTATTATTATACACCATGTTATTACTCATAACACCCCTGGCATGAGTCTGGCCAAGCCAGGAGCTCAGGAGCTGGCAAATACTAGGGTGGAAATAACCTGTGCAAGCCAAGGCCTGTGGGAAGCAGCTGCCTGAAGGGAATTGCCCATCCCAGCAAAGCCCCACTGCCCCCATGGGTGGTGCTGTGCCCTCACTTAGGGCATGAAAGACTGAACTGCTGCTGGGAGAAACACTCCTGTGGAGATTTGTACTGGGGGTAAAATGTGGAGTTTTGCTTGGATTGCATTATCAGGAGTGGATGGATCATTATTCTGAAATATCACCAAAGGGAAAAATTGGGATCGTTCAGCCTGGAGAAGAGAAACTTTGGAGTGACCTAACTGGGGCCTTCCAGGACCTGAAGGGAGCCTGCAAGAAACTGAGAGGGAGCAGGGTTAGATGGGATATTGGGAAGAAATCCTTCCCTGTGAGGGTGGGGAGGCCCTGGCACAGGCTGCCCAGAAAAGCTGTGGCTGCCCCATCCCTGGAAGTGTCCAAGGCCAGGTTGGATGGGGCTTGGAGCAACCTGGGCTGGTAGGAGGTGTCTCTACCCATGGCAGGGGGTGGGACTGGATGATCTTTAAGGTCCTTTGCAACCCAAACCATTCTGTGATTCCATGATGATTCCATGAAAAGAAAGAATAAAGACTTGAGCCTTAAGGAAATAGGAATGTCAGGGTTAGCACTTAATGCTTAGAAAAGTAATAAAGTACTGAAAACTAGGTTTTTAGGATGGGTAGCAGTAGCCAGCCTTACTGTCAGGCAGTGCTGCTCAGCCCTGTACTGTGAAGCACCACATCCTCCTCCCAGGTAACAGGTGACAGGACGAGAGGAAATGGCCTCAAGTTGTGCCAGGGGAGGGTTAGGTTGGATATTAGGAAAAATTTCTTCATGGAAAGGGCTGTAAAGCCTTGGAACAGACTGACCAGGGCAGTAGTGGAGTCACCATCTCTGGAAACGTTAAACAAACACCTGGATGTGGCACTTGAGGACGTGTTTTAGCAGTGAACAAGGTGGTGAACAAGGTGGTGGTGCTGGACTTGATGATCCTAGAGGGCTTTTCCAACCTTAGTGGTTCTGTGATTCCATGATTTTCTGGATGCATGACCATCTCTGGGCTTGAAAAGAAACCTGCTGCCCCTGGGGTTTGATCCCGGGAGGGCACAGGGTCTGTCCAGGGCAGGACAGGAGCCTCAGGGGGAGCAGAGGGGCAGGGAGGGGGTTTGGTTTGGGGAGCGCAGGTGGAAGAACCAGAGGCAGAAGAAAGAGCAGGGTGCCAGGCTTTGAGAAATGGGCGGGATTTGGACCAGCAGAGGAATTAGGAAGACACAGCTCAATTTAAGGAGGCGTTAGAGGCAGAAGTGACAGGGCTTGGATGGGAACAGCAAGGCAATTGAGAGATCAAAGGAATCCTCCATGTTACAAGCCACTGGGAGGTGGGAGGTGGGAAAGGGCAGCCAACTTCCAGTGCTGCATTCTACTCTTTTCCAAGTAATTTCACTTTGAATTTATTTTTTAATAAAGTCAACTGGATTCCACCTAAGCCTTGCCTTGGTGCCAGGACAGCTCTGAGTGCCGCATGGAAAACATCCTGGTTGCAGCTCAGCATGTCAGGCCGGGGCCGCTGTGCAGAGCTGACGAGGCAAGTCCCCACGTGGTCTGAGTCCTTTAGCCTGACTCATCCTCAGAGATGGATGAAAAGCACTTTCTTGTGCTGCCTCATAGCGAAGCAGCATAAAACCTGCTTGGCAGCAGTGGTGCCCTCCTTCAGAGGCCCAGGACTGAGGAGCTGCTTCCTTGGTGTGCCCAGTCTGTCCTCCATGGATACCAGACTGCAGAGTGACTGCAGAGAGCTCTTTGGGTCTGTACTGCATATCTCTGCAGCCTGTAGCTGTCTTTCACATCCTGCTTGTGCACACCTTGTTTTTCTGCTTTGGAGCTGGCTGATCGTTGCCCTGTTGAGGAGCAGGCTTGTGTTCCTCCAAGACTTGTTCTATATTTTAGTGCAATCACAGTGCCCGACATTCAGTGGTGGCTGTAACAGGTATTTGAGTAAGTGCTGTAGAATCCTGCCACCAAACGTGGCTCTGGTTTGCCTCTTCAGTTCAAACAGTTTCAGCTTTGCTCTTATGCTTATTCTGGGTATGTGCATATCAGTACCACACTCACCTGCACAGTGTTTTATAGCCCAAATGGTACTGGGCCAAGCTGAGGAATGCTTACAGCATGCTTACAATGCTGTAGACAGCCCCAAAACAGCTCAGAGAAGAAAGAAACTGGAATATCATCAGAGCTGCCTTTGAAGTTACAGCCTGCAGTGGCTGTTACCTCCTCATTCTCTCCTTCACCCTGCTCTCAGGCAGGCAGCATGGATGGATGGATGGATGGATGGATGGTCCAGCTCTCCTGACTGTCTCTAAATCCACTTTTGGGTGAAGAAAACTTAGCACTTAACCTCCTGCAAATACTTTCCAACTTTGGCCTATACTTCAGGGACTACATGGAAAAGTACTTTAAAGAGAGACAGTTTGGCAGCTATTTTTAGGTATTCATTGAGCAAAACACTCTCCAACATCTGCTCATCAGTCAGCTATCCCTTCTCTGAGCAAACCTGATGGGATGAGCAGAAGGAAGATGACACTGTTTTATGTAACAGAAGTAAATTTAGTGGAAAAACTCTGCAGCAGCCTTCTAGCTGCCTCTTACTGCGTGTTACGTATTAATCTTCAGTCTCCCTTTTCCTGCTTGTGCTGGAAACCACCCATCCAAAGGCACTGGCTGGATAGAGGGAATAAGGCTTGGGAACTCCACATGTTCCTGTATTTTCCCTGTGCTTTTATAGATGCCTGTGCAGAAATGTGCAAACACGTGACTCCAGCAAAGTGATGAACCAGTGCGAGGATGATGGGAATAGGGAAGTATGGGAATAGTCAGGGAAGGATGGGAATAGTCAGGACAGGAGTCACAGCCGGTGACAACCGCAAGGCTGAGAGATGTTCTCAGGAATCAGGCAGGGAGGGATGTCACCGAGCAGAGTGGGAGGGGAGGCTGCTGCCTGCAGGCAGCCCGGAGCAGGCACAAGTCCCGGCATAGGCGGCTCATGGGCATTGCCGGCACCGCTGGCACTGGAGCCCTGCCAGGGACAGCCTGGCCTCGTGGCAGGGCACAGCTTTTTCCTTGGGTGTTTGCAAAGCTCTTCTGAGATAAGCAGGTAAGCATGAGCAGCAGCACGGAGAGCTGCTCTGCATCGTTTCTCCTGAGTTTTGAGTTCTAGTTTGCCCCGCGACTGTCCGGCAACATAGGAACCAGCCTGCTCCCATTCCTCCTGGCCTGGAAAAATGAGAGAGGGAAGCCCAGGGAAATGACTCATCAAGGAGCTCCTGCAGGAAGAGAGACCTGGATTAGGAAATGCAGAAGGTATTCTGTAACCCAAGCTGAAAAAGCCAGGAAGCTCAGGGTAGCGGCATCCTCCGAGCTAAGCTGGATATCACAGAGGTTGGGTCCTGACCAGGTCAGCCAAAGTTGCATTTCTCATTCATGTGTTTGAAGTTCTCCCTCCCAAGAACCACATGGTGAGGCTGAGGGACAGTTTATTACAGTGTTCCAATGGTTCATTGTGGCCCAGCAGCTGCGTGTCACCAGCTGGCAGTGTGGCTGTGTGACTAAGCATCCTGACTTCCCAAATATAGCCATTCCGCTGGAGCTGCTGGCAGTTTCTTCCTTTCCTTTCCTTTTTTTTTCCCTTCCTATATAATAAAGGCAAGCAAAGTAAGCAAAGTCATCTCCTGATGACCCCCATGTTACTTCTTTTCAGTCAAGAGGCCGCAGAACGGACCAGGCCAGTTACAGCACATGAGGCTTGGCCTTGCAAAGTTTCTGGTCTAAATCATTGTGGTGGGACTTGATGGTCTTAGAAGCTGTTTCCGGTCTTAACAATTCTATGATTCCATGTTAGTCATCCACACAGGTGAAGCACAGGAGGATGAAGTGATTTGCTCAGTGTCTGTAGAACCTTCCCACCCTCCAGCACATCAACTCTCCTGCCCAGCTTGGTGTTCTGCAAACTTACTGAGGGTGCACTGAATCCCCTCATCCAGATCGTTGTAAAGATATTAAACAGAACTTGATAAAGATATTAAACAGCTTCCTTGTCCTGATTACTGTGGCTAAAAGGAGAAATCAGAGTTGGGTGCGTGCTCAAACAGCCCCTTGCAGCTTTCTCTGTAACACCATGTGCCACTGAAGAGGACGTGGAAGCAGCAATGTGTGTAGGAGCTGTCCTGGATATAAGGTGTTGGAAGACAGTGGGTTTGGAAGGAAGAGGCCTACAACACTGGAACACACCTCTTTGGAGCTGTCAGCCAGATTTTGCTGTTCTCCGCAAATTGTTCTTTCTTGCTCCTTGCAGGGTTACTTAAAGCAGTGCCGGAAGAGGAGGGACATGTTCAGTGATGAACAGCTAAAAATCATCTTTGGGAACATCGAAGACATCTACAGATTTCAGATGGGCTTTGTCCGGGACTTGGAGAAACAGTACAACAATGAGGACCCCCATCTCAGTGAGATTGGACCATGCTTCCTGGAACACGTGAGTGCTTTTGGCATTTTTGTTTGGGACTTTTGGGGTTGGTTAGGGAATGGGGGGCTGTGTGTCGGGGCGGGAGGAGAAAAAGTCAGGAGGCAGGAACCACTCAGGGTAATTTTTGTGAGTCGTAGTGTTTTAGTAACATATCAGGGACTACTCCATGGTTCTACCTTGTGAGATACAGAGGAGGGAGAACTTGGAGCATACAGTTGGATAGCCTCCAGTACATCTGAATCCTAGCACTTTTTCACATCTACCCTTAATCATATTATATAGGTGTGATGTCTCACCTGCTCCCCACCTTTAGAATGTGTCTTAAACCCACTCATAGGCCTCCTAGTCAGGTCATGGGTGAGCAGAAGGTTGGAGGAGGTAAGAACGTCCAGAGAGGTAAAAAGAGGCCTTAATTATGCATTACACAAGAAAAGTAGAGGAGAGCAGGTGCCTGGGCTGTTTTCTGGGGCACTCAGATGCACTTGGAAGGTATGAAACACCCACACATCTTCAGTGGCCCAGCCCATCATCCCGTTCCATAGCCACCTACTGCAGAAGCTGATAAATTGGCCAGTGTTGGAAATATGTCAGGAAATGTCAAGAAAATGACAGCCCTGCTTTCCTTGAGGCAGAATGAAGGGTGGTATCAGAGCTCACAGGTGCTCCTGGGCTGCAGGTCCTGTGCTGGGTCAGGGCTGAGCTGGCAGCAGTTCATTTCCTACTAGAGAAATTCCTGACAGACATTCCTGAAACTTCAGCAGGGCATCCCTAAAGAGGTTCAGAGTGCCTCTTAGGCATCACTGGTCCTCTCGCTGAAGGCAAGTTTCCTTCTGAGCCAGGTGCATGAGGCGTTAACGTGGCTGCAATCTCTGCTGCTCCTTCCAAAGCAGCATCACATTCCGCCTCTGTGCCGAGAAGATGTACAAAATCTTGGTGAGAATCAGTAGCTAAAACGTCATGACTTGAGGCTGTGCTGTCAAGTCATTGATAGTGACAATAGTAAGAATTGCTGCTGTTATTTGGAGGAAGATCTGAGACTTGCCTGTCACCAGACAGGGGCTGAAAGCTGGCTGATAAACTCCTGATAAATTATCCCTGTTCAGTCTGTCCTTTCTGTAGTTTGTAGGGCATTAGCCACAACCAGATGGAGCATCTCAGGCTGGCCTACAACACCTGGGCTTTAGCTGGGCTGTCTCAACTGCACTTTAATTTGGGATGCCAGGCAGTCAGGTTGTGTCCATCTCTCTTCCAGTGAAATCTTTCTTTGACCTTCCATTGCCTTGTCTGTGTGGCCCGGATGAATCAAGCCTGAGTTAAGGGTGATGGCAGATCTGTGGTCAGTGATGGCAGAAAAAGGAAATTCCAACAAAATTGGCACCAAAAGAGTTGTTAGACCAGTGCAAAAGGTGGAGGGGGGCACATGCATGAGTGGGTTTTTTCTTTGTTTTTCCATTCTTTGGTGTTTTCTGGCTCTCTGGCCCTGAGGAAATCTCCACAGTGGTTGGTGCCTCAGGGTCCCTGTTGGTAAAGAGAATTTCAAACATACCCAGCTCCTAAAACACTTGCCAGATGCTTCGTGATCTTTCAGGAAAAGAGCTCTAGAAAGGTTGTCATCTTGTCTTAGCAAAGTCTAGAGATCTTGGTTCTGCCTTTACCTTTTCTAATGAAAACCCCACGGCACAATTTGAAACTGAGAACAGCTACAGGGTTCACATTAACACACCTGCACCTACAGGATCTCAGCCATGTGTCAGCGTGCAGGGCCCTCTCTGCCTCCCTTTTCCCCCACAGCAATCAGCACCTCCTCTAAGCAGGAAAAGTACTCTGGGATCTGTCCTTCCTCCTGTGTGGGGTGTGCTTTCTTAGAGTCCCAGAATGGTTTGGGTTGGAAGGGACCTTAAAGCTCATCTCGTTCCACCCCCTGCCATGGGCAGGGACACCTTCCACTATCGCATGTTGCTCCAAACCCCGTCCAACCTGGCCTTGGACACTTCCGGGGATGGGGCAGCCACAGCTTCTCTGGGCAACCTGTGCCAGGGCCTCCCCACCCTCACAGGGAAGGATTTCTCCCCAGTCTCCCATCTCACCCTGCCCTTCTCTAGCTGGGATGTGTTGTTGGCCAGCTGGGTCACCTGCCTGATGTGTCCCTGTTCCTCCACAGCAAGATGGATTCTGGATCTATTCAGAGTACTGTAACAACCATCTGGATGCGTGCATGGAGCTCTCCAAGCTGATGAAGGACAGCAGGTACCAGCACTTCTTCGAGGCGTGTCGCCTGCTGCAGCAGATGATCGACATTGCCATCGACGGCTTCCTGCTCACGCCCGTGCAGAAGATCTGCAAGTACCCCCTGCAGCTGGCAGAGCTGCTCAAGTACACGGCCCAGGAGCACAGGTAACACCAGCCCAGGGCACCGGGGGGCTGCCAGTGCTCCTTTCCACACACAGGGCTTGGGGTTTTCTGCCCAGCTCCTCTCTCGGTGACATCCTTTATAAATGGAAGCAGGGCAAAGGTTCAGCAGACAGTTAAAGCTTCTCAAAGCACCAATTCTCGATGGAGCAAGACTCATCTCTGTTATAATCAGACATGAACTAATTACCCTTGGATGTACTTTTCTGATGCTACCAGTTACACTAGAAAAATTACCTAATTAGCATTCAGTGGTCCAAAAGGCTCATTCCCTTCTCCCAAGGAGGACCTTAGCACACAGCAAGTGGAGGGCCAGGATCTGCAACTCCAGCCTGAACATGCTCAGATTTGGGCAGAACTCAAAACCTGCTTTGCTTTTCAGCCTGATCCCATCTCTCATTTTACCCTGGGGTTTGGGCTCAGAGGAGCAGCTGCAGTTTGATTACTTCCCAAAATTTCCAGGATCTCTTTTGCTGCTGCTGAGGGCAATCAGCCTGACTCCCTGACAGCGTAAATCAGGAATAGTACCTGTGATATCATTTGTGACTTACTGCTGTAAAAATAAGGTGAAAGAAGAATCAGGCCCTCTAAGAGTAGATTTACTCCCACCTTGCCAATTTTCTTTCTTTTTCCAAAACTCATTTAAAAGTAGGTGCTTCTGAAAAAAAGACCACAAATGTTTCAGAAACACCTCTTTGTTTTTCCCCAAACACATCTCTAGAAGAGCGGAGATGTGATATGAGCAGAGATGTGTTGACTTGCATCCATGAGTCTGAGTGATTCAGGCTCGCTGAATCACCAGTTTGGTCATGCCTTTGGCTCCTGATACAATTCCTGGTTTTCACTTCATAACGAGACCAAAACAAACTTGGAGTGGAGTCGTGGGAACCTTAGGGTATCAGAAAGCAGCTCTGGGGTCCCAGAGGTTGTGGGTTTTTTCCTCAGCAGCCATGTGATGACCCACAGCACTGCTGGGAGCTCAGAAGTGGCTTCACAATGGGAGGACACGAGCAACCTCAGAGAGGGGAGCTCTGTGTTTGAGTTATTTGGTGGCCATACCAAAGGGGATGTGGACAGTGTGATCACACAAGGGTTGGATTATTTTGGGAGTGCATTCCCGTTCCCTTTGGGATGTTTTAAATTCACCATCTTGTTATGTCATCACATACAGTCACATTCTGAGGAGACTTGGGGCTCCCTTGTGGTTAAGCAGCAGTCAGTTGATTTAGACCGAGAGCTCTATTTCAGTGGATTGTGTCCATGACAGGACACAGCCATTGACATTTCCTTTCTTGTTTCTCCGTGTTCTGAAAAGGGAAAGCAGGGTGATGTTTGCTCCCCTTGATTAGAAGGAGTAACCCCCCCCTGAAGCTGTAAGACAGCACAGGTATGAAACCCCAGGCTGCACAGAGCCCTGTGCTGGATCCCTACCCTGGAGGAAGGCAAAACTCACAGAGGCCCAGGATTCCCCGGGAGCTTCACCTAACAGAGAGACGTGCAGTCTCTTTCTTTTTTTTTTCTTCCTTTTCCCTGACACTGTACCTGCAGAGCTGTGGATCTTCCCTGCACCAGGTCAGGACAGTAGCACCTAAATGAGAAACCTGACCATTCTCCCCCGAGTTTGCACATGATATCTGGCAAGAATCTAGACTTGCATTCAGATTGAGCACTGGAAAATGGTCACTGCAGCCCCAGTGGAATTGACAAACCACTTATTTACCTTCATTTCGTAGTTAACGGTATATTATTATTAATTCACTGGCCAAATGCTTTGCTTCTGTTATTTTTTCTTTTAAGTTTTTGCCAGCTCTGCCACAGACATGGGCTGGAAGCCCAAAAAGTGCAGTCCTGACTCTTTCTTCATTACAGCGTGAAAGAAAAACGTGCATGGGGTTTTCTCATCGGAATTAGGGAATTAGCGTTCCCAGGATAAACCTGGCTTGGCTGGCACCGGCCCACTCCGTGTGGAGGCGGGACAGGGGTGCTCAGAGCCTGGCTCCCTTCAGTTGCTTCTTCTTTTGAGACTGATTCATTTGAATTTTTCACAAAGCCACATCTGTTCACCTCTTAAAGATTTACTCCAGCTTAATATGAATTAAATATATGAAGGTCCTAAGTGCAGCTTGCTGGTGTCCTGAGCATTCCCACTGCAGAACTGAGCTGAAGTTAAGAGTGTAGGAACGTGTTCTGTGAGGAGACTCTGCTGAGGAGTCACTGTCATTACCCTCCCTTCCTTGCCTGGGCATAATTGCTAGGAGATTATGAGTGACTGTCTGTAAACCCTGCACCTCTGCCTGCCTCTACACATCCTTTCTGGCCATAGTGATTTTCCTGTTTCCCTGCAAGGGCTCATGGGCATTTTGCAGATCACCCTGACGTAGCTTCATTCCTCCCATGCACAACCAATGCTCCCTTCACACAGATGGCCCACAAAGGGAGGCACAAGAAGTTCATTGTGTATCATGACCATTGCCATCCCTGGAAGTGTCCAAGGCCACATTGGACGGGGCTTGGAGCAATCTGGAAGGTGTCCCTGCCCAGGGCAGGGCATGGAATGAGATGGGCTTTAAGGTCCCTTCCAACCCAAAGCATCCTGGCATTCTGCAATGGATATGTCAGGCAGCCCATCCTCTGTTCTCCTTTACTGAAGGACCAGTCCTGCTGTTCTGGAATTTGTGAGATTTTTTTTAACCTCAGCTAGAATTTTGACATTAGAACTGAAGAAAAATTAAAAACTCATCCCAAGTTTTCATCCAAGCAAAACAGCAAGTAATCTTCTATTGTCTGTCACAGTGTGATTGCTTCTTAATATTTATCCTGTTGGGATCACATGGAGAAGGCATCTAATTCCCAGCATTCACCCCCATTTTAGCTGTCACCAGTGCAATCCTTAGCAATAATCAATACAGCCATTCCCCCTGCAGCTGCCCAAGATGGCAGTTTTTCTCATTAGTCAGCAATCAATAGCAGCCCTTAAGTTAATAATACATTATGGTGGCATTGTGGTAGCTGGCCTTGCCTGTCTTCCCAATTGAAATGAACATTACAGCTCCTTGGAATGGAAAAGGAGGCACAGGGCAGAAATCAATAGCATTGATTTCAGCATCACTTTTTGAAAAGACTGATCATCATCCTCGCTGGCCGTGGCAGGAGCCTATTCTCACTCTGTGTTGCTGCATTCATAGGCCCATATGAGGAAAAAGGAAGATTTTGCCTTGATTTGCTCGCCTGAAATCTGCAGTAAGAGTGAATTCCATGGGATAAGTGCTCTGGGGCAGTCTTGGAGCCGCCTTATGGCTTGGGAGGTGCTTCGTTCACTGTCCAAACGAAAAATATTTTCTGATGTTCATTTTAAAAATGGAAAAATCCAGACCCAAAGGCCCAGGCTGTATAAATGTTCAGACTGTCTTTTAGGGTGATGCCCTTTAGCTGAGCTGTTGGGTTGGTAGAGGCCAGGCTGTGCTCACTGCACCCATGGAAGCAGCTGAGGAGCTGGGCTGGCTCCCAGTTCCAATTCCAATGAAGCTGCTCCGTTGTGATGCTCCAGACATTGCCAGTGGAAAAAATACAAAATATGCCGTCACAGCGCTGAGTGGCAAACCCTTCCCGTGTGTCCTTGTGGGGAATGGTGGGATTGTGCTGCTACTGGGGGTTGATAGACTCCTGTGCCTGTTTCATGGCCTCCCCGTGTATGTTCTCTGCAGTGACTACAGGTATGTGGCCGCTGCCCTCGCCGTCATGAGGAACGTGACTCTCCAGATCAACGAGCGGAAGCGGAGGTTGGAGAACATTGACAAGATAGCTCAGTGGCAGGCCTCTGTCTTGGACTGGGAGGTACAGTAACATGGTGCTGGGAACCTGGGAAAAGCAAATTCCACGCAGTTGTTGCATTATCTAACACCCTATAGTTCATATCACGCAGCCCAGTCTTGGGATTCCTGGGACAAGGAAGACACATCCACAGACTTCTGAGTGGGACTTAAACATTAATGACCCTAAAGAAAATCTAGGGTCCAGTTCCAATTTCATCAGTAGAAACCTGGAGTAACTGTTGTGATTGCAGTGCTGGTAGTAGGTGAGGTTTGGATCAAACCCCGTGTGCATTCTGGCTCTATGCTGTGTCACTGGGGAGGAAGTCGGGAAAGAGCCCTGGAAATTGTGACAGGTTAAGAAAATGGAGAAAATCCTTCTAGTGGTTGCCTTGTGATTGCAAGCCAAACTGTTAAGCTGGAGTTAGAGATGGTATTTGAATTTTATAAATGACTTTACACTTAAAGATATTTCTGAACCAGCCCCAGGTGTAGTGATGGTGTAATTAGAGAGCTGAGAGGCACAGGGAAGGCAGAGTCAGCAGAAGGATTCCTCACCAGCAGGCCTTCAGTCTCTACATTTGTACCATGTGTTTTAAAAAAAAAAAAAAAAAAAAACAACTAAAATTATGTTCTCCTTTTCCTTTTGTCCCTGGGGTTTTTTTAAGTCATTGTATGCAAGTAATCTGTAAATAGGGTTTGGAAGCAGATGGAGGGCAAATGTTGCTGTAATTCCTCCCAACGTTGTCATTGGTCCATGTGTTCAGCAAGTTGATAGAGTGATGGAGCAGCCTTTCTTTTTCCTCACAGTTGGGAAGATCTGAAATAACTCCACATTCCAGTCATTGGGATCATGCTATGTAAATTAGTGTATGGGAAGAGGTGTTAATCCTTTAATTTTATTTTTTTTTCCTGGAAAAGATCTGTGAAGGCTGGGGAGAGAGGGAGAGAAATACAGGTGCATCACCTTCTGACTGCGTGTCCTCCCTGACTGAATTAAGTTTCATTGCTGTAATGAAGGTTGGGTTCAACCCTGGATCTCGTGATAAAGCACATAAATGCAGCAGTCAGAGCTGGGTATGGGATTGTGGCTGGCTGGGAGAGCAGAGAGCGCAGACGATGTGTTTGATTGTTTTACTGTTGTTTACTGTGGAGGAACATCTCTCACAGCTCTCACTGACACACATGCTCATTTTGAGAATGAGGAAAACTGCTCTCAAGGAGGCACAGGACCATCAGCTCCATCTTCAGCCTTCAGAGTGTGCCATGGGATGAGCTGATGGGAGTCTTTTGTAAGAAATGTGGAGCCCCTCTCTGCAAATAAATCTCGATTAAGGGCAGATGAATTCCAAGTCAGTGAATATTCATGTGTGAGTGGAAAGCCAAGGTGACCCCACATAGGATCTATGGAATAGCAGTTTCTTTTTCTCTTCCATTAGCTCAGTTGATAATTCATTTTTATTTAGCCATATCCTTGATAATTCATTCCTGCTTAGCAGTACCCATTCTTTATCTCCATCCTATCCTCAGGAATTTGCCAACTCATTCTTCCAGGCTTTTTTCAACTAGTCCAAATTTTGAGCACATTATTGCAGCACCATCCTTCAACTTCTCATAATATAGCAAAGCCTGCAGTTGGTACTGCTGAGAGATCCTCTGGGAATACAGTGCTGCCCCAGGTCAAAGGAAAACACCCTTCTTGCCTTTTTCAGTCTGTCTTTTGGATTAAGAGGAGGCATAGAGTTTTGATGAGAACAGTAGAGGATGAGAGCTGGACCCAGCAGAGGATTTCACGGCTTGATTCTTCCCTCTGAAGTAATTCTGAATCACCGGATCCAGCCCCCACTTCCCAGCTGTCCACGGAATGGCCAGAAGGATGCACAGAAACCCAAAATACCCAGAAGTGAACCATTGTGCAATGCAGGAAGGGAGTGGGAGAAATCAAAAGCGGTACCAGATGCTTGGATCCACCCTAGATCTGTGCAGATGCTCTCCTTGGGCACTGCAGCCCCCACTGCAAACCGCAAGCCCCACTCAGCTGTGGGGCACGTCCCCCAGGACTCAGGACATTGGGGCTGGTTCCTTACCCAGTCCATGAGGATTCACTCATCCTCTGTGCTTGGCCACTTAAGGGACCTCCTGGTGTGTGTCCCCAGCCCCTGCCAGGCTGTGGGCAGTGGGCATTTCCAGTCTGAGGAGACCACAACTCCAGCTGGTCTTTGCTGGAGGACCCTCAGCCAAGGGAGGGCCCCACTGTCAGTGCTGTGCTCCCACTTCCCCACTGTGGGAAGTGCTCCCTGAGGCAGGAAGAGAAACCCACAAAACACTCCCCAGCTTTCCGAGGCCCTGTTCCTGCTCTGATTAGTGACTGTACCCCAAACCAAAGCTTTCTGTCCCTCATGGTGTCACACAGAGCGAGCAGTGGAGCATCACCCGGGGTGCACAGCTCAGCCTTCCTGAGACACATGAAAACAGCACTCAAAAAAAAGCAGGGAAACAAGAAAACAATCAGGAGAAAAAATTATCAGTTCAGACTTTTTTTCCCCAAATATCCAGCCAGGCACAAGACAGAGCTAATCCTGAATTCCCACTGCATGTGGCACCTGGTGATTTATTTCAGTGGCTTAAATGTCTCAGCACGTTGAAATCTCTCATTTGGAGAAATGTCTGGTTTTCCTCAATATCTGGAGACTAACGAGGTTGATTATCTGATTTGAAAGTGCTTTTTCTTGTCTAAATTTACTCATGTTTTGTGATGAGATAGAAAAAAGTGTTTTTTTAAAAAGAAGAAAAAATCCAAACCAAACCACAAATATTTAGCGAGTGAATATTTGAAATGTTCTTGTGTACCAAGTGTGTGTACGTGTTTTCTTGCAAGGAGAGGGTGTGTTTGGGAATGCATACATATTGCTGATCCTAAAGCAAACGGGTAGAGTAGGGGCATATCCAAGCTGATTTAAGCAGAGGGATTTTACTGAATCCCATGGAGTTGTGCCTGTGTGTTTCAGGAATCACTTTTATCCCTCAAGACTTTTTACATGTCCTGGGAAAGTGAATTTCGGGATGAGCATTTGGAAACTGCAAATATCCTTGAGTTAACCAAGGGCAGAGGTTTTTCCCAAGAAATCATGCAAGCAGGATCTGATGGTTTAAATTGCCATTGGGATCAGGAAAGGGTGGCCTGATGTGAGGGGCAGTCAATAAGCTTTGGCAGCCAAGGCCTGAAGTCTTAAGGAATTATTGGCAGCTTTGGCAGCTTTAGACAAGTAATGACTGAGCAAAATCTTAAGGGAAGATTCTGATCTCACTGACTGCTATAAATTAGAAATAATCCCAATCACTTTGAAATGTGTTCCTGTAAAATTTGTGGGAATGTGGGCTTGACCGAAAAGCCCAGCTTGGTCTGTTGCCACGTATGACTCACTGCTTTATTTTGTAGCCTGAATTTCCAGGATATGAACAGACACAGAGAGGTGCTGCCCCTGCCTACACCAGTCCTGCCGTGCCTTTTGTGCTTTGAGCTGTTAATGGTGCAGAATGTGGGGTTTCCACCACCTCCTGCCGAGCCCTTTTGCTGCCTGAGAGCTCTCGGTGTTATGAAGTGTTTCCTGATGCTCAGCCTCTGTTTCCCTGCACTCAGCATCATCCCCTTGTTCGTAGTTAAATACCCTCAGATCAAAACAGTGGCATTTAAAAGCAGTGAGGCAAAACAGCACACAAGGTGGTGGAGCAGGTTCAGAGCAGACTTCAAATAGGGCCCATCCTGGGTAGCCTTTCCTGCTCGGTCCTTTCTGCTGCTCCTGCCCTCTGAGAGCTGCACATCTCCCAGTTTAGTGGGCTATAGCTGGAGAGATACACACACAGCAATGTCAGAAAGACATTTCCACAAAGCCCGTCATCATGTCCAAGTCCTTGCCAGTCCCAGTTTGGGCAGGGCTGTATTTACACCACAAAGCTGAGGCAATGGTACATCCCTGCCTTGCTTCCTCTCTTCTCCTGTGCCGTGGCAGGAGCATGTTCACCTCTCTCCTGCCCTCTCTGTGGATCCTATGAGCCTGTGGAGCCGTGGAGACCTGTGTGCCACTCTGCCCAGCTCCCTCTGGCTCTGCTGCTGGGCAGGATTTGCCATTTCCATTGGCATGAGCCCCGTGCCCACCACAGCCTCAGGGGCCACTGCACCCTCACAGAGTGCCTTGTGGAGGTGGAAAACAGGTCTATGCTTCAACACACCTCAGAATTGCTCCTTTTCATGCCTTTTGAACAGCTCTTGAACCACATCAAAACAAAATGAAGCAGCAATCCTGCAGCAGTCCCTGCCCTCATGGCAGCTTCCAGCAACCCTTTCCTCCCTTTCAGCCCAGGTTTCTCTCAGAATAGGGATATGATGTGGCTCCCATTCCCTAGGAGGGAATCTGATGAATCTGTGGAGTCCCTGAGCCACTGGCAGGATGTTTGGCACAGGACAGAGCCTTGCTGATCAGCCTGGATTGGTTTTAACTTGCTATTTAAACAGATTACTTTATGCAGCTGTCTGGATATTTCTACCGAAGATTCCCATGGATTGCCACTATGGCAGGTTTCAAGAGTGTTAAATTTACATGAAGGGAAAAATATATGTAATTGAGACATATAATGAGCACTGTCCTTTTAAATGTCTTCCCATTCTTGTTATTTACGGGTCCTTTAAATCAAGAGTTGCTGCCCTTAATTATGTAATCCATAATTGTTGGCCTCAGCCTAATATTATGTTAGTGAAACCAAGAGTGACATGAAAGAAAGCTGCATGTAACCAATGTGCTGCTTGGCAAGCAGGGACAGCCTGATGAGAAATCCTTCTGGGAGAAAAATCATGTCAGGGACTGAAATACAGCCTTCTTTTTTCTTCTTCTTCTTGCCCCCCCCCCCCCCCCAACAGAAGGTATCAAAACTGAGCCTGTTGAAAAGGACAACATCTCCCTCATGTTCCTTTTCTGATCTCTGTGTAGCCCCAGGTGCTAATCAACCTGTCAGTCTCTAATTGCAGAACAGCAGTGTCAGGCAGGAGAGAGCCCTGCTAACTGCCTGGGAGCTGGGCAAGGGCACAGAATCTCCTCACTGTGCCCAGCAGTGGCAGCAAAAGGGCTATGTCAGGGTGGGCTTGGGCGCTAGGGGGTGGGTCTGGTGGGCTCCTGAGCATTCCTGAGCATTCCCAAGCCCAGGGAAGTGTCTGCTCAGGGCTGGCTTGTGAGAGGTGGAACAGCTCACAGTGCCCTGCCCATCCTCGCTGCGTGGGTGCTCCCAACATCCTTTATTCCATGGCACTGTTCCAACCCTTCTGGTCCCTGCTAGTTGCTCCTTGCAGAGCGTGGTGGTCGCTGCAGCACAACTGGGGAGTTGGGGATCCACGTCTTTCCGACGCAGCAGCAGCAGAGCTGACCCTGTGCTGTCACAGTCAGGAGTAGCCCTGGGACTGTGTGTGTCAACTGCAGGCTCGAGGGAGCATGAAACACTCATCCAACCCAGATCTGGGTGACCTTCTGCTCCCATTACTGCTCACAAAGGAGCTCTGCTGTGACTGCACGGAGAAGAGAGGAGTCAGCTTTCTGTCGGCTGCCCTTTGGATGCAGCAGGATGTGCAGGGAGGATGTGTCAGGATGTGCACTGAAAACCCTTGGTGCAGCTGGGGAGGGCTGAGGGTTTCGTTAGAGGCTTATGGGACATAACTCAGGTTGGACAAGGCCTCAGGAAGTCAGCCACTCTCCTCTTGGCCATTCTGCTGCTGTGCTCGGCTGAAGTCAGTAGAAATCTGCCTGTTCAGTGGAACTAAAAGTTCAGCCTCTTCCTTTTTTTGCAGGGTTTCTCCTAATTTACATAAGGATATTGATGATCCAGCTTCTCTAGGAGTTGGAAGAAAATTGAAAAGAAAAAGGAAATTTTTTCCTAGTTCAGTACAGGATTGGAGGGATCCAGGGCTGGGACTGGGAGAGGCATTTGGGAAAGCCTGCCTGGAGTCAGGCCCATGGATGAAGGTGTGCTGGGGGAGCCACAGTGGCAGTAGAGCTGAAAAACCAACATGTCCCTTCTTGCTCCCATCCTGCAACTGACACCTGAGCCCCCAGAAGGGACACCCCCCCTGAAGGGGACAGTTGGTGCTGTTCAGAGGTGTAGAACTGTCAGGAAAAGAACAGCCTTTCAAGGTTCAGTGGTTCTGCTGGGAGGCTCTGGCTGGTGAATTGGCACAGCAGCCGGGGCTGGAGGAGCAGGCAGGGCTCTGGACATGCTGCTCGTGGCCAGCCATGTGCTAGTCCCAAAGTATTTGCAATATGTATTTTCCAATTTGCTAACCCAGCATGGGAAATCAGCTATTTCTAGCCTATAGACTGTATATATAAATTGTTTTCCCAACATAAGAAATGGTATACAAATCCCATCATTTCAGATCCGAATGTTTTGGGGTTATGTAGCTTGCAGGGACTACCCAGTTTGGATTCAGCTAGTCAAGTAGAAGTGCTTACAGAGTCCTCTGTGTGTCCTCAGGCTTCAGATGCTACCACAGGAGTAAAAGACAAAACTGGCTTTCTATTTTTAGCAGCCAGCCTCTCCTAAGCTCGCCCCCTCTCCTAAAGCTCCCATCCATAGGCTTGTGGGAATCTTCTTCATAGAAGCTCGTGTTTAGCCAGGAAAGCCCATAATTTCTGGAGCCAGTGTGTATTCTTCAGAGACTTCTTGTTCGAGGGCTTGTGCCCACCTGAGCTGTGGCAGCAGCACACGGGTCCCTGGGTTCTGGGCAGGAGGTGTCAGCATCCTGCTGAGACACCATGTGATGCACATGTGATGTGATGCACAGCCCATCCCTCCGGGGAGTGACCCTCTGTGTCCCTGGGAAGTTAACCCTCATTAAACCTTGGGATACCACAGCCAGAGAAGTGAGACTGAGAGGAGGATAAACCCCTGGCTAGTCTGTGCTGCAGGATGGTGATGCAGTGACTTAATGAAGTTGCTGTTGTCACAGGGCCCAGGGACACAGGCGGTCGCTTCCAATCAATGCTGAGAGGTTAATTACACATTTACCTGAGCAGCAGTCTGAAATCCTCACCAAGAAAGGAGGAGTGGGGGTGACTCTTGGCTGCTTTGGCACCTGCAGCTGTGAGCAGCACCAGAAGCATGTGTCTATCTAGATCCCCCCCATAGCTGGCTGAACCTTTACAAGCTGTTTGCTGAGATTTTGGGATGGTCTTGTCCCAGAAATCGGTTCCAGTTTGGCGTCAAAGCCAGAACTGCAGTAGTTTAAGAGCCAAAAAGACAAAAAAAAAGCTCTTCTTTTACTTGCTCCTGAATTCTGCTCCTTACCTTTCAGCTGGAGTCATCCCGCTTCCTTCTGCGGTGTTCCACCGAGATGCCCATAGGGCAGGTGGTGGTGAATTCACCCATTTTTAATAAATAGATTTTAATTAACTTTTTTAAAAAGTCCAGCTCATTCCAATTAGTGGAGGGTGACTGCATTTGTTCTCTCAGAGAGTGGGAGAGAGAGCTCTGTGTTTTCAAGACCATCTGCTCGTGAATCCTTAAAAAAAAACCAGAGAGGAAAACAAGCGTTAGCCGGAGGCAGGGAAGGGTGAGGGCACTCCAGCAGCCAGCCAGGGAGGCCTGGCCAGCTGGGAGGGCCCGAGGCTGCCAGAGGGGCTGGGGTGGTCCTGACAGGTTTTTGGAGATGGGGAGCTCTAATGAGCTATGGGAGAAAGGACTGTCATTGCCTGGGTGAGTGGGAAGAGAAGCAACACTCCAGAGGGGTGAGTTCTGGCAGCGTCATGGGTGGGGAACTGATAGCTCAGTGTTGATGGCTTTGAGATTTGAGATGGCTGGCCTGACATTTCAGGACCAAAAAGGCTTTGGGATGCTGTTTTAAAGGGGGAAGGTGCAGGGGATTGGTTACCCTGAATACGAAGTGGCTGTGCTGGGCAGCAGGAAAGGGCTTTGGTTGCCTGATGCCACCAGCACCTGCAGCGAGATTAGGGTCTGGGGGTACCTGGAGAGAGGAGTGGGTAAAGTGTTTGGAGCAGCTCTTTCCCCGTTGCAATGTGAACTGCAGTGACTGTGCTTTGAGTGCCCACACTTACTTCATTTATTCTCCTTCCTTCAAAATTATTCCCTAACCCCAGTTTCTGGTCCAAAGTCAGATGGGGTGGCTTTGGGAGCTGCTGGAAGGCCAAAATCTTACTTAATGATTGCCTCTCCCCATCCTGCAAAGACAGACGTGTCCACTGCCCTGGCTGGGAGCAGTGGCTCACTCGACCTCGTTCTCTCTGCCCTCCAGGGAGACGATATCTTGGATCGCAGCTCGGAGCTGATCTACACGGGGGAAATGTCCTGGATTTACCAGCCTTATGGACGGAACCAGCAGCGAGTTTTCTTTCTCTTTGATCACCAGATGGTTCTCTGCAAGAAGGTAAGGACATGGCTAAGGGCATGCTGCAGACAGGCTTGCCAGTCCAAAGTGGTTTTTAGGGCAAGGTGGCTCTTTGCTGCACGTGCAGAAGAGGATGTGGATAGCACTTGAGGAGGGGCAATCCACATGCTCAGAATACTGATTTGTGGGATAGTGAGCATACTGGGATAGAGGGATTTTTATGCTCATAGCAAATCCAGCCTCCACTTTTTCACTTAATGCCTTTTTCTCATGTGCCCCTTGTTTGGCTTGTTGCCTCATTTCTCCTTTTAGGTTTTGGCTGCAGCATATGATCTGGGATTAGATAGCCCTAGAATTCCTGCATGAACTGCAGAGCCTGGCACTTGGGCTGGCAGCTCAGTGGCTGCATTGAGACAATGATCAGCAGCTCAGTCTGTGCGGGGTGTCTATGCTGGCACTTGGGCAGAGGCATTTTAAGCCTCATCCTGATGTCTCTGCTGTGCTGGGTTTTACAGGGCACGTCTCTGCCATGAAACCCATCAAGAAGGTAGGAAGGCAGTGCAGGATGCTGGTGTTGATGTGCTGAAGTGTTAATAGCAGCAGGTGAACTGTGTTTCAGAGCAGCTCTATGCAGCAGCAGCAGCATCACAGCTGTACTGCTGTATCCCACTAAGGTGATCCCAGCTCACTGCCATCCCAGCTGTGCTACGTGAAGGGACAGAGCACATCAGTCTCGTGTGTGACAGCCTGGGATTCAGTGACATTCAGTGCAGCCACACAGAGAACTGTGCAGGGGGAGTCCCCACGTCTGGCTTCAGTGGGAAGTGCAGACAGGGAGCTGTGCTCCTGTTACAGCCTCAGGGCTCAGGACAGGCTGAGCCAGCCCCACTCCATGTGCCAGGGCCCTGGCACTGCAGGAAGCAGCGAGGGAGGAGGCGTGGGAGGCTCCTGACTCACCGCGGCATCACTGCCTGCTCGCGGCCTGTGCAGTGCAGTGGGTGGCACTTTCTTCTCCTGAGTCATGGTTGACTGAAATTTTGCCTTCTGGAATGCATGTGCTTGTTTTTCCCCTCCTCACCGCTGTGCCTTTTACTCCTGGCCTGGCTCTGCACAAAAATAACCACAGAGCAACAATAACCAGGTCCGAGGGTCAGAGCTGGCATAATGAGTCTGGAGGTGCACAGCTGGTTTCAGTTTTAATCTTGACCTCCCACACTTTGATTGTGACCCGAATTGCCAATTCACAAGGCAGCATCCAGCTTGGCATCCAGACACTGGATCTGGTCCAGAGAGGTATCGAGCGCTCCTGTAACTCCGGGAAAACCATGGCTGGGATTTCCGTGGTCATCAGCATGTGTGGAGAGTGTTCAGCAATTCGCAGTGGGCTGTGGGAGCCTGGCAGGTTCCAGCAGTATGCAAACAGCACTAGTGGGACACTGCCCTCCTCCTTTCTGCACGCAGAAGGCCCTTTGAGGGACGTGGTGCTGCAGGAGGTGCTGCACAGGGAAACACCCGGCAGATTAGAACGTGGGGCCTGGGCCTTCCTGGAAGAGAGACTGTGCCAGGATCTGGCAGCCCTGCTGCCACCAGCCAAGGTCTTTGGGACAGTGTGTGTGCCCTGAGCTTTGGGGTGACAGGGCAGAGGGTGGGAACTCCTGTGGTGACCCCGATGTCATGGGCACGGAGCTCAGACCTCGCTGTAGGTTCTTCTTCTGCATCCCTTTTTTCCAGCAGCAAACTGCAGTCACTTTTCAGTGTTGGGGCAGGAGGGGAGATAAGGTTACAGCTGTACTCCCCCGTGATAATGCTTTCCTTGAACTTTATTGAGAATAATTGTCCGTATGGGTCCAGAGGAGTGTTAGCTCACATTTTGGGATCATGAATCCCATATAAAATAAATCTGAATGATTTGTAGCCTATGTTGCCTTCACCCTTGTGTCAGGCTTTGCTGCACAGATCCCAACAGGCAGGATGACCTCTGCTTTAGAGCCAGAGCACTGTGTCTTGGGGCTTTTTTAATGAGGCACCATTTACCTCATGGTGTGGGAAGTTGGAGCTTTGAAATTATCCTCTGAGGGATATGAAATATGACCCACATCCTCCAGAGCAGCTTTGGTACCACTTAGGACGGCACATCTCAGTGAATCTTCCTCTTCAGAAGATTTTCTGCATTTGTGGTTTTTTTCAGATATAATAAATCAGTAGGTATGATACATCCTTCATCATGACACAATCTATATGAGAATACTTTTTTTTAAATTATAGTGGTTGAATTTTATCTCTTTATCGGTCAAAAGAGATTTTTAATAGAAATAAGGAACTAAAACTAATTCCTTATTTAAATATGCCACAGATGCTTCAGTTTGATGAGGTTTGCTAGATATCCTGAGAGGCTCTAGAAGACAAGCACATATTTCAATAAGATCCCCCACTCCTCCAGATCTTCCTTGCAGTTACCTGCACATCATCCTCACCTTCATTACCTATGGTCTCCTTGGCAGATGTTTGCAGCTGCAACAGCTCTGTGCTCTTGCATCCCCTGGGAATGCACATGGATCCCATGGTTGCAAAGAGTGATTCATGAGTTCCTGATGGAACACAGTTCTGTATCCTAAGCTCTGTGACAGTTTTGGATGTTGGTATTCTCTGTCCTTCCCTTTGAACTCCATTATCTCCGAACGTGGTTCCACAGTGGGCTCATAGTGCACAGGCTGGCAGGTTCCTGCTCACGGTTTGTGCAGTGGAAGATGAGGAAATCTTACGTGGCAAACCTGGCTGGAATCAGCGTCCCTCCTGTAGGCCAGGGTGAGGTGTTGGTGTTTGCTGATATACCAGTAGTCCAGGAAGATGGAATATGAATTCCTGCACTATATGGAAGAGAGCCAGTGAAAGTCAGTTTTTCTTTTGCTGCAGAAATTTGGGCAGCATTCTGGTCCCAGCCCTCCAGAGTGCTGGGTGTCAGTCCCAGGAGAACCCACTGTGACTCTCGCTGTGTTTCTACTGCTGCTGGTCCCCTGGGTGGCTGTACTGCTCTGCACTGCTGGATTGCTGCTGCACTCAAGCAGAGTGATAAAAAATTCTTTCTGTAGCCAAGGTAACAACTCATTCTGTGCCCCTTATTTCAGGTGGGTGCTCTGTGCAAAGTGACGTGTCCCCCACCCTCATGGAAGTTTGGGTTTCTTCACAGCAGTTTTGCTGTCAGTGAACAGCAAAGATTGCTCTGGTTCAACCTCTTGGTGTCCTCTCTGTGGCTACATGGACAAGGCACAGTACACATTCTCAAAAACCATCTTGTTTGTACCATTCTCCTGCTGGCTTGGGTTTGGTCCAGCGGCTCCAGCGGCAGCTGGCCCAGGAAGGTTTCATCTCCTGTTGTGTGCTACCAGAATTTACCATGTTTCTTTTCCCACTGATCCGTCCACTGTTGCCTGTGTCTAAGGGACATGGTCTGTTGGCTGTGGAGGTATTTCCAGCGTCCAGCTACTGCTTTCAGCAGCAGGTAACATATTTCCAAATAACCCCATCTGCTTTGCTCATGCCCTGCTTTCCAGAGACTTTGCCATCCCTTTCTGCTGTTGTCTAAGAATGTTTCAAGGTTATGGAGCCTTTTTTTTGTTGGACACTTGGCCAAGACATTCTGTGAGGGAGGATAACTCTCATGTGATTCTTCCTGACATTGTCACCTGGTTGTTCCCTGCCTGATACACCTGCAAGCCCATCAGTAGTGCCAACTCAGCCCTCTGACAGCCAGGAGCTTGCTGATCAGCATTCATTGTGTTTATTGGTTGTTCCCAAATATTTCAAGCAAGGCTTCAGCATCTGCCTGGCCTTTGGAAATCGTGGTTGTCCACAGATCCCTGCAGGTTGGGACCATGCCTTGTATCCCACTGCTCTCTGGTCTCATACAGGTGGGTGGATTGGGCTGAGAGCTGCCGGTGGGAGCAGCTCCTTGAACCTGAACGTCCTTGTTGTCTTCCCACTGGCTGTGTGTCCTAGGAGTTTTCCAAGGGCTTTTGCAGTGTGAGCTGATCCAAGGTTTGTCCTTTCAAAGCAGTTGGTGACAGTTTGTTTGGGTGTGAAGATCCAGGTATTGGTGTGGTCATTGACGTGACTGTGTTGAACTCTCTGTGTCAATGTGACTGTCATAAACTGGTCATTAATATAGTTCAGCTGTCAGGAGAGGAGTAGTGGCACTGGTGGGATCCAGTGGCCAAGCTCAGCCCCTTCCCTGGCTGCCTAAGATCTACTGCGTCTGGCAGAATTCCCAAACACATTTCCATGAGCACCATGAGCATAGGTCTTCAGAGACCTGGGTTGTGAAGATGTGTAATTACCAAGGGCTGCATTCAACTGTGCTTGGTAGGTGTTATTTCCACCAGTGGGGGTATCTTTAGGTCTTTCTTCCAAGCAGGAAACCTGCACTAAGATTTCTAAGGGCTGCATGCAGCATGCACCGTGGCAGGCAGCTCTCACTGCTGGCAAACATCTTGCAAAGCAACTTGTGTGGGATAATTTTAACAAAAGCTGTTTCTGAGCTTTACAGATAAATCTCTTTGGTTTAGATTTGGCCATCAGAGACAGCGCTGGTCACTTCCTAACATCACCACTGGATTATTTCCTGGTGCCAGGAAGTGAGGAGTTTAATTAGATGAAATGGCCATGTCAACTATTTCAGTCTTCAATAAACTGAATGCTGAAATACCAGTTTGTATGCCACAGTTTCTGATCCAGAGCCTCTGGGAGAACTCAGGATTCAGGTTTTCTTTGCAAAGCCAGGTAACTTTCAGCTGTTGGATTAATGTCAAAGTCTCCCAATGAATTTTCTGTCCCTGTCTCCTGAACCAGAGGGTGGGACATTGCCATGTGCCTGAGGACAAAGTGGTGGCTTCTCCGAAGCGACTGTTGATTGGATGCCCTAATGCAGAGTTGCCTTTTGGGAAGGCAGAAGGGAATACACTGAGCAGGAAGCAAGCACTGGCCTCACTGCGCCTTGCCCTATGTGTATAATAGGAGAGGAATGCATATTCCAGCATGCTGAC